TTTTTGATCGTGTGTGGTCCCTACAGAAGCGGGGCCCGGCCTTGGCGCTACGACCGGGCCTTCCCTTGGCCGACCAGCCTGAGAAAGCGGCGGGTATACGGAAGGCCCGCGGTCGAACACTGAGAGAGGTACTGGTGGTTTAATGGCTTTTCTACATGGTGACATGGGTTCTGCAGTGTGCAGGAACCCTGTCAGTTTCTGTCTTTCCGCCGGAAATTTGTGCCATCCGTCCGTAAAGGGTAGGGGGGTGCATCCCCTTCTCTGGAAGAAGTTTGAAAACCACACACATGTCCAATGCATGTCTGGCAGGCCTGGCCAATTGTGCATTCAATTTGGCCCATTGACAAAAAAAAAAAAAAAAAAAAAAAAAGGAAGAAGGAAAAGAAGGTGTTGTAGAGGCCAACCACAGACTGGACCAAATGCCTTTCGTTTCCACCCCCATTTGATTTCTGTGGTGTGCACTACTGTATCCCTACACGCCAGGGGCCTCGTCCGACTACCGTCTTCACCCGAACATAACGCACCCTAAAATGAATGTATACAAGTGGTTCCGGCCAGATACAGCCAAAATAAGGGTGCGTTGTGTTCGGGGTAGCAGCCTAGGGTTTCCTCATCGCCTGAATCTGGACGGGTGTGTGGAAATGTGCAGAAACTCCGCTGAGATTCCTCAAGCGCACAATGCGCTCACATATCCACAAACACACGTCCAGATTCAGGATCTTAGGCGCTGCTAGTGGGATGAGGCCCCCAGCTCCCTACCTTCGTTGTTTGCTCCTTCTTTTTGTCCATTCTTGAAACATCCATAGCCAGACTGCAGGCTTAGCTCAGATTAATCCTCAGCCGAAGCCGGGTAATGGCCCCTGTATCTCAAATGACTTGTGTAACTCTATATGGGACGCTGGGCCCGGTTCCCAGCACGTGCTGCTGCCCACGAATAGATTCGAGTTTTTGTCCCAAAAAAAAAGAAAAAAGAAAAAAAAGAAAAAAAAAAAAGCTTAGCTCTGTTGGTAAGACACAGAAGCTGCATTGACGAGGTCGTGGGTTCAATCCCCGTGATTGCCCTCACGTGCCCCCCAAGCCTAGCCATTGACAGGACCTTAGTTGCCAACTATTGTTGGTTGCTTGACCATTAAACACCACTACTATCCGGTTCGAGGGGGGTACTAGGGGGAGGTGCAATTAGAGGTGGACCCCACCGGACGACGGCTTGGAAAAAAAAAAGCGCCTGATCGTTTTGGAGACCCCACCGGTGATGGAAAGAGGTGTGGAAAGCCTCTTTGGAAAGGTTTTCGAGACCCAACCGGTGATGGAAAGGGGTTGCCGAAATGCTGACGGGGCGNAGGTGTGGAAAGCCTCTTTGGAAAGGTTTTCGAGACCCAACCGGTGATGGAAAGGGGTTGCCGAAATGCTGACGGGGCGTTTCTACATGGTCGGCGGTCTGGAAAACAGCTGCCCGATCGCAGCATTCCTTTTCCAAACATGGGCCCCAGCAGAGTAGGGGGGGGGCCATGTTCTCCGATGGCATCGGAGGGCCAGACGGCATGGTCCATGCGGCGGTGGAGGGGACCATTTTTTGGACCTGCGTTGCCGCTGCGGACAACCGGTTTGTTGTCGCACGGTTCGCACATGGGCCTCTGGGCACAGGCGGGTTCCACGTCGCCAGATTTTTGAAACGGCCCTGCAGCGGTGCACAGAATTTCAAATTCAGATTTTTTCGTCGGCAGAGGATGACGGCCAGCCATGCAGCAGTGACGTACGCCCGTGGGTGTGCATGTCGCATATTGCGTCGATGCTTCGAATACACCGGCGTCCTCACCTTCTCCCTCTGCATTTGTGGTGACGTGTGCGCTTCCATGCCATCGCTGGTGTCGTTGGCATGTGCAGGCCGTGAGGTGTGTGTGCGGGGTTGTCGGTCATGGTGTCGTTTTGACACAGTCCGTGAGGTGCATTCCAGTGCTGTCGGAGGTGTGCGGACCGTTTTGTGTGGACGGCAGCGTGGAAGACAACCCGTGCAATGCGTGCATCCTGTGTCGTGTCGTGTTGCGAATCTACAGCATACGAGCTTGTCGTCGTCGATGGTGCAAGTGACAAGGGCCATCGTTCCAAGGTTCTGTGCTTTGCCATCTCCCGTCGTCCAGCTCTCCAGGCAAGGTGTGCGTGTGTCGTCGGCAGACACAGACATCGGCAGACGGGAGGTGGGCTGGGGGGCATGTGGGAACGTGCATGCCACTCCACAACCCCTTCCTCGCCACGTACCGGGTCCTCTTCCTCCTTGGCAGGCGTCGACGTATGAGGACCACCGTCAGCGTTTGTGCATGCATGCCGTTATCATCGACAACCGCTGCTGCTGTGGTAGCCGTCGCAAAATCACGGCTTGGGTTGTCCTCGCAGGCATCGTGGGTGCCGCGGTGCTACTCTTCTTGATTTTAGGGTGTGTGGCTGTCCTTTTTTGTTGGTGTCGGTGGAGGTAGTTCGGAAGCGGGGGTGGTGAGAGAGAGAGAGAGAGAGAGAGAGAGAGAGAGAGAGAGAGAGAGAGAGAGAGAG